GACAGCGCGGGAGGGAGGAACAACGGCGTGAGGTGTACCATAGATCTCTCTCTCTCTCTCTCTCTTCCCCCGTGCTCGTAGGTCTGCTACTCCGGCTCGAGACAAACTGGCGACGACTGTTTCTGTGTCTGGCCTTGCGCATTATTATCGTATAGATTCCTCTAGTCAGCAGTCCACGGTGTCGTTGCAATCGCCGATGGGACAAGGAGGAACGTTTAACCTTGCCGGGGAACTGCGGAGGAAAATTGATCCTCGAGACGGCCCTACTATTGGATCCCTGGAATTCCTTCTGTGTTCTTGCTTTTAGAAGAGTTCCTTTGATACTCTTTCCTTATAGTTTTCTTGGGTAAATGAGATCTCTTGGATGGGATGTTAGTTTCTATTGGTGATTTTTATGAGCTTTGTTGCGGCATTTTCTGTGGGGACCGTCGCAGACTATAGGGTAATTAGAATATTCTGGTGGGTATAGTCTCGTAAAATTTGGATGTATCCTCGAGACGGTCCTGCTATTCGATCCCTGGAATTCCTTCTGTGTTCTTGCTTTTGGAAGAGTTTCTTTGATAGTCTTTCCTTTTGGTTTTCTTGGGCAAATGAGATCTCTTGGATGGGATGTTAGGTCCTATTGCTGATTTTTATAAGCTTTGTTGAGGCATTTTCTTTGGGGACCGTCGCAGACTATAGGGTAATTAGAATATTCTGGTGGGTATAGTCTCGTAAAATTTGGATGTATCCTCGAGATGGCCCTACTATTGGATCCCTGGAATTCCTTCTGTGTTCTTGCTTTTGGAAGAGTTTCTTTGATAGTCTTTCCTTTTGGTTTTCTTGGGCAAATGAGATCTCTTGGATGGGATGTTAGGTCCTATTGCTGATTTTTATAAGCTTTGTTGAGGCATTTTCTTTGGGGACCGTCGCAGACCATAGGGGAATTGGAATATTCTGTTGGGTATTGTCTGTTTACATTTGTAATTCGGAGTTAGAGAAAGGTAAGAATGATGAGTGTATTGTAGAATATAAAGATATTTTAATAGTTTAGATATTTCTGCGGGATTTTTAATGAGAACTAGGGAATTATATGCATATTATAGTCAAAGATTAAAAATCTTCAATTTCTGGTTTAGTTTGTCAAATATTTTCTAGTATGTAAATCCACTATCCAGGAGAATCTAGTGAAGTACAATACTTCTAACAAGATGACAGTTCTGTTACTTTGTTTAATACGTACAGTGCCGCTCATAAATATTAGGATACCTGGTCTATGTTAAAAAAATATGTTTCGTAAAAATTCTATATTTCAGGCCAAGTTTATTACTTTATAATGACACAAAGGTTGTCCATGGAGCTTTCGTCTCCCCTAAACAGTATTCGTTTCAAGCTGTCAGCAATTTTATAATGCATTGTAATTGGTAATTTATTAATTCTATTTACCAATGTCCTAGTTCAAATGCTACATAATGAATTAATTTCCTTTGGCTCTCCGGAAAAATTATATGCATTCGACTTGTGACACTATTCTTATGTGTGATGTGTGTCTAATAGTTTCTTGCGTCCTAAAGATCCGCCGACGAATATAATCATCGAACTATCTATGCAATAACCAACAGTAAGCAAATACCGTCTTCTGTGCATACTTAAAATGTGCTAAACAAAAGAATTTTAATTTATTTCTTTCGAAGTAGATAAAACCCTTTTCCACGGGGAGGAAATTTCTGTTTTCTTTCTGTCATAATATAGTCTTTGAAAATGAGAGTTCGCATAGACATTTGCAGTGCAATTAGATACGATTTTATAGAACATTTTGAACTCCATTCGAACTCCCCAATTTTATTCCAATAGGAAATATAGTGTTATTAGATACGGTTTTATAAGAAATTTTGTACTCCTTTCGAATTCCCCAATTTTAGCCAACTGCAGACAAATAAAGCGAGACTAAATAATATTAAAATGGTAAAAAAGAATAGTCACATTGTTCAGAACGTTGAAATTCTTCTTAATGTCCATCGTGACGATCGATTTATCACCCGTAACCATGCATTGTTCGAGCACGCGAATTCTTTTTTCCCCAGCGAAATTACTGTACCGGCGCCGCGTGAAATACGAACACCGATAACGAGGCACGTCGAATTCATCGGAGAAGCGGATTAATCGCGGCTGGAATAAAAGAGAGGGATCCGTTTTTTCCCCAGACCTGGTGGCTTCGATCGTTGGGTCGCGTTATTACGACGTTCGCGAAGACGATTAAATTAATAAACGGCATTGGAAACATCGGGTGGCGAATTTAATACGCGACTTTATTATAAAAAAAAACAATCTCGTAACGCGCGTTAATTCTGTAAAAATTATTGAATTAGCGTTTGATTGTGGCAGGAAAGAATGTGAGCTAGGAAAATCAATCATTTCATCGTATCAATGAAAAATTGTGACAGACTAACCTTTGCAGATACTTTCACGATGTACAGAAATCGAAGGTGTGATTAACTTTGATTAATCGTTTCGCTGTTATTGGCGGCTATAGGTGTATTTGAAATTTCGTTCAGAGTATGCTGTTGACGTCTAGAATCGACGTTACTACACAGCGAATGTTCAACGCTGGACGAATATAGTCGTCGTTAGTATCGAAAAGGTTAACATAGTAAATTGTTCACACATGAAAAGTTACAGTAGTGGTCCAAGGCGAGGGTCCAAATTCGGCAACCTTCCCTATTTTAGAGTAAAAGAACCATTCGATTCCCCATAAAAATGACTGAATATTCACAACAAGAAACAATAAATTCGGTACAAACCAGATAAATAAATTTAATTTCAGACAAACAAAAATTGTAACGAAAAAAAAAAACATTTGATTCCCCTTAGAAATGACTGAATAAACATGACAAGAAACAGTAAATTTGGTACAAATCAGATGAATAAATTTAATTTCAGAGTAACAAAAATTTTAGCCAAGAAAAAAATATTTGATTCCCCATAGAAATGACTGAATAAACATGACAAGAACCAGTAAATTTGGTACAAACCAGATGAATAAATTTAATTTCAGAGTAACAAAATTTTAGCCAAAAAAAAACCATTGGATTCCCCATAGGAATGAGTGAATGAACATGACAAGAACCAGTAAATTTGGTAAAAACCAGATGAATAAATTTAATTTCAGGATAACAAAAATTGTAGTCAAACAAAACCATTTGATTTCCCATAGAAATGAGTGAATGAACATGACAAGAACCAGTAAATTTGGTACAAACCAAATGAATAAATTTAATTTCAGACTAACAAAAATTGTAAAGAAAAAAAACCATTTGATTCCCCATAGAAATGAGTGAATAAACATGACAAGAACCAGTAAATTCGGTACAAACCTCGAGAATCCTCCTCGAGAAATAAAAATCGAGCAGACCAGATCCGACAGAAAACTCGCCGCCCGTTTTCAATCGTCGCCGGTAGAGTTTTACGATCGAAGCTCGAAAATTTTGCGTCCCCGTGATAAATCCGATCGTCTACAGGGGGTTGATTTTCCCTAAAAATTTTACTCGCGACAAACGCGAGGATCCGATCCACGCCTCGATCTTTCCCATCTCGCGCCCTCGTCTGTATCGTTTTCTTATTCCGCTGGATACGATCTTGGGTCGATCGTAAACCAACGCCGGAAGACACTGGGCCTCGTTTAATGTCACACACCCCCCCACCCTCCAACTTGCATCGCTAGATGTATGGATCGAGAGGCGTTTCAGGGGGTTGAAGTTTTGCGAGCCTGTTCACGGGGCGAAACGACGCGAGAGCGATGGTATTTAGTAGCTGTCGAAATGGTCCACTCACCGCTACGGAAACACCGTCGTTATCGTTAAGTGTCCCCACCCCCTTCCCCACTAGGTTATTTCTGTTGTATAATGCGTCGACTGGTAGTAACCGCAGGTGGTTGATAAATTATTAATCGATCGAATTTGGTCGGCGAGACCAGACGTACGCGTCGCCTGGTCAGGGCGTTATTCGCTCTGTCGAGGGTGGTTTACAGGGTTGTGATAGTAAACGGTATAGTGAAGGATGGAAGAAAATCGTAAGGGATGTTTATCGAAGTAAAGTGATCTAGATTTTTTAGGTTTGTGTTTATTAGGTTGTTCCTTAAGTGATTGCCAATGGTATGATCATACGAGGCTTCGTTTTCGAGGAAAGATCGATTGGAAATTTTATCGAGTATAGTAAATCCTCGATGAGAGTTTAAAAAAGTCCCCAGGTGTAACGCTGACTTTTTAATGTGGTTTAGCACAGTTATTCACCTGCATATGGCCATTAATTTATGAAATATTTAATGCTCGATGCCGAGGAGCCATCGAACAATCATCGAGAATTTACTGTATGCGTACATTCGTGGTGATAATAAGTAGAAACAGAATACGATGAACAGACGTGTTAGCGATTACGCTATTCTCCGTAACCAACGGCAATTTAAAAAGCATTCACCGACTCTTTGGAGTGAATATTATGTGTCACTGCGACCGATAACTAGACGCAGTCGATTTTCTAGGAAGAAACGTCTCGACGACCAAGTCGACAGAGATGCAACGATGCCGCTAAATAAACACAGACGGGCTTCCGACCACGGGAAGCTCCTCAGAACTCGCGGAGGCTATTATACTATTTCCGAACGTCCTATAAGCGGGTCGAATAAAAGTTTCAAAGTTCAATTTCTGTGTTTTCCTACCTTTTACCCATCAAACGCGTTAGACAAGTTCTATTCCCCTAGGGGCCAAACTGATCTTCTACTGAATCCTCTGAAATATTTGTAATTAAATTGGATAAAAAAGAATTTCAAGTTAAGTGCCTATTTTTCATATTTCCCAAATGATGCTAACAATTTAAACCTCGCAATCACAATCTCAGATATCTATTATTCGAATAAAATTTTATTTACACCACTCGAGAATTTAAAAAAAACAATGAACATAATTTTGTCTTAAGTCACACGAATGGAAGGTTTTTAAGTAGACATTGTCCCGTTGTTTACGTAGATGCTGTCGGTGAGCCCAGGAATGGAGGTAGGCAGCGGTGGTCACGGTGGCCTCGGCGGTGGACTGGAAGGTGATCCGAGCGGTGGTGGCGCCGGCGTGGGCGGAGGTGGCGGCGGAGGTGGCGGCGGTGGCGAAGGAGCCACCGACGGGATGCAAGAGGCGATGGTCGCCGCCGCCAGGGATAGGGCGATAAGGGCCGGAAGTGTCCGGCAGGACCTCGCCCTCGACCTACCCCCGCGGCTCCAGCTTCCGGACGGCGTCTTCATCTGCGCGACCCCGAACAGGTGAGCGACCATTGACGATGTTTTAACCAGGAACTTAAACTAGTATGATTTTGATACCGGTATTATGCCATGAAAATTATACCGAAACCGATATTATCACTGTGGGATTTAATGAGGAGATGTTAAGATTGATCTGAATATAATTTAATTAACCCCTTAACGGATCAATTAAAAATTCAAAAACGTGATTGTTTTTCCATGAATTTTTTTATTCTCTATTTTATTGGAATACGAAAGAATAATAACGAATCTTGAAAAAAAGAACGCAAAGAAATGTTGTTTTATGCATAACAGGCTAAGGTAATTGCAACTATTTCGCTTAACCGGGTTAACTTGGGTAACATAAAAAAATTGAAAAGGATCAGAAAAATCAATCTCTGAATCACTGCCACTGTGTTCTAAAGTAGTTAATCCCTGTCTGTCTCCTGTGTCAATTTGACACATTTTCCTTCTAAGAGATGATGTTATTCTGTCGTGTGTAGATGAATTTACTTAGCTTCATGACTTTCATTTTAACACTAGGTTTACGGACATTTCTTGTATACCTATCTCTACGGACACGCGTCAAATTGACATCGTTTTTTTTTTTTGTTATATTTTCGTTCATATTTATTGCTGAAGCAATGCTTTCATGAATCGAGCTCGTTTACTAGGATTAATACCTACTCAATTTACGATCGCGTCAAATTGACGACACCCGTAGAGATAGGTATACCACATAGAGAATTCCGAGATTAAAAGGCTTAGAAGAAAATGAATTGGGATATATATTTGTCTCGTTAAAACAATAAAAGTCAGCATAAATGATAGGAGAGAAATGTAAACGGTTTCGGTCATTTTCCTTGTAAAGTTCAGAATGCGTCAAAATGACGCGTCCCGTAAACCTAGTGTTAAAGAATTTGCAAATTTAACTATTCATTATATTAATTTCCACTGTGTCAATGTGACACCGAGGGTTAAATTAATTTAGGGAAATGAGGTTAATGCAATCACCACTATCATACAGATATTGTCTATCGTACGACAAAAATTCCTTACAAATGACAAGTTACAGTAACGACCCAACCTAGGCGATAGTTCAAATTCAAGAACCTTCCCCAATATTTTTCTTACCACCTTGCTCCAAAGACTTACCCGTGCTAACGATAATCTGGTCCATTGAATATAATATCCTAAAATATATTTACCAACCTCAGACAGCAGCTGGATAACCGTATAAAAATTCAATACCATGTCCATTAAATCGTACGTTTTTCACGAACTTTTCGGATATGTACCGACACTCGAGAGCCAATTTTTCATCCAGATATCACCGCGTAATTAATGTCGACCTCGAACGCGCTAATTGGCTCTTTAAAATATTCCCGATGGAGGGAGAGAGAGAGAGAGAGAGAGGGACTTTTTCGTTGGCGGTTAATCGGGTTTTCTTCGACGTGAGCTTGATTTCCCCCGGGAATCAGACCCGGCTAATACCCCGTTCGACATCTCGAAACGTCACGATGCACTATTCACGCTACTAGGACCTGATACTCTGCGCCCAGGTGCTTCGATATAGCCGCACAGTGCGTTGGAAAAAACTTAAAAGTCAGTATTAATTTTTTCTGCGATGGGGTGTATCGTGGACGTAATCTAGAGTCTTTATTTGTATACGAACACTTGACAGAGAACAAAATAACAGCCCCCAACACTCAGAAAACACACTAGTATTTATAGAATTTATTTAACTTACTGTTTTTATGGGTTTACTTCTGCCTTATTTCTGAACGCCATCTACGAGTTATTGGAGTTAGGCATAAATAAAAATAACTTGAAATAACAATAAAATTTAATATGAGTATATTAAATTTTTATTTACAAAATATAAATTATTAAATATAACTGAAGGTATTAAATGCTTTTTATTTTGATTGCGATAGGCTGTTTTACTTTAAATTCAGTTTTATTATCTTGAGAGTACACATCCGTTAAAGTGTTGATTTGTATGGTTTTTAAACTTTGATCTAAGTTTTCTAACTTGTCATAGTCTACTGATAACTACGGGTTTTAAGTTCCTCGCCTAGGTATCGCTCTGTTTAAATAAAACAATTACAAATAGATTACTTTTAAATATATTATAATAACAAGAAACGTTAACCTAATGAAGATTAAATTATTATTTTCCCCCAAACAACCTATACAACTGAGAGGCAAGTGAATATTTCAAATATTAGTGCCAGAAATGGCAGACAAATCATGTGGCGTCCTGAATGCTTTTACGGTCGCCAGTGAATTATGGGCTCATTCTACTGTGATACCCCAAAACCATCACTTTTTAGGAATTTGTTTTAGTGGAATAAAATTAACTACTAGGTTCAACGTTTGCCAGTGCATTATCGAAGACAAACAGTGACCGCAAAAACTAATTTAAAAAAACTTTCTTTAGAAATTATTATCGTAATATAAGCACAAAGCAAATGACTTAAAAAATAGATGCACCACAAGCGACCACAAGCGACTAAAAAATTCAAAAAGATTCTCAATTATACCGAACATTTTTCAATAAATTCATGAATACATAATTGAATTACATTAATACAATTATTAAAAAATTCAAAACAATGTCGATGTTTCTAAAGTTCCATCGTAGAATGACCCCCTAAAAAAATACGACCATTCCAAAACTTTCGGCTGGTCTACGCAAAAAAAAAAAAAGTATGAAAAACAATATTTGTCGTTAATATTGTTAAAGATGACCGATCACGCGACACGTTTCAATGAGCCGCGCGCGTATCCGAGAACATTCCCGCGACAAACAAGCCGAAGAAGGGAGATCGGGTTCTACCCTCTCGAGGCTTCTGGATGCCAGCATCGAGCTGAACGGCGTCCGCCGGTTACCGCTCTCCTCGAGGGTCACGGGCTAGAATTTCAGTAATCCAACGCCCTTCCCCTGCCTCTTGTCGTCGACGGGACACGCCTCGTTGTCTCTAGCCGGTGTCGTGGCGAACGACCGAAAAAAAAAAAATATTTATTTATTCGTCGCGAACTGGACTCTCCCGGTCGATGTACTATTGCGCCTCGTCATCGGCCACGAATATTAAACGGCGACTGGGGTCACGGGTAATTCCGTTTGATTGCGTTCAGGGGACTACGAGTGTTCTCCACCTGATTTTTCGTTTTTTGATACCTGGAAGGGGACTGAATCGAGTTCGATTTTAGTAGATGTTGTATCATCTGGTACCGTCGTGGAAAATAATTATTGGCGTGGTAGAGGTGGTGGTTTAATACACACTACGGTCTAAATATGGTATAGTTGAGGTACAGAGACATGTTAGGTGCTTCATAATAGTGTGAAAGCAGGAGTCGAGAAGAAAAGAAGCTTATTTGAACAGTATATTATGAAGCAAAAATGTTTCAAATACATCGGAACATCTTGAAAATCTTTAAGAAGTACAGTAAGTCTTGAAGTAAAAGTGTGACTTGAAAAAAAAATTTCAACTGTGAATTTAATGATCTTCTAATTACGTCATTTGGAATATTTGTTTACGCCGCGTGAATCAGGGCGAGAGGAGTTGCTGACAGTTCGAGTAGCTAAGTTGGTCAAAGTAATCATCCTGTGCTAGCCCATATTTAGACCAACTCTTCTACTTCCGAATTGTCACTTCCTATACTATAAGTAGACTGTGGATTTTGTACAATTTACAGTACACTTGAATATAACAAAATAGTAACCTTCATTCGATAACGTAGATCTCCACGTAGATGGAATGAACACGATTAACCCAAAACATTATTGACGATAAACTACCTAACCCAGACAATTTATTTAACAACCATAATCCGACCTAGAGTCTGTCAAAAAACTAGGCAACTGTCCACACTTTCAATATCAAGTATTTCATACACGTCCAAACAAGTACAGTAAATCCTTGATAAGTGTTCGAAGTATTCTCAGCACCGAATAAGAAATATTTCAATAAATATCATTTCAACAAATCTCATTGACTTCAGAATTCAACGTTACACCAGGAGACCTCTCCTAGTCAATTCTTAAAAACCTTGAAACACTCATCGAGGATTTACTGTATACAGAAAAATTGTAAGAGGCTAGGAACCACGTTCGAGGCCTGTTTCACTGAGATTCGACTGAATTCTTTTCCAGGAGAGCGAGATATACCAGAAGTGTGTGCGACCGCCGCCAAACCGGACGGTGTTCGACAGCGAGAGTCCGCCGCCTTATCGAAGCCAATCGGCGCTGTTAGACGCGCCCGACCGGATAGTCCGTTGCCACAGTGCAGGCAGCTCGTTGCTTAGGGTGTTCCGAAAGTTCCCGAGTCCTGGCAGCTCGACGCCGGCTGTGGTTGTCCCGCCACCTAGAAGGCCGACACTGTCCAGTTATTCCGAGTCCAGTAGCAATCTGAGCAACCTGTCCAGCCTGACGGTGGTGCCGTGCGAGACAGACGAGAGTCAGCAGCAACAGCACCACCAGCAACAACAACAGCAGCAGCACCATCAGCACGTCTGATCCGAGGAGCGGCCGAGAAGGAGAACACTCGAGGCCAGGATCACACCGGGGACAAGAGGGTTGTTCCTCGAGGTCGACGGACGCCGTGGTTGGATCTCGTGGAAACGGCGACGAGACGGCGGCGAAACGGCGGACCAAGCGGAACGACGATACAATGAACAACAAGCCAACGAAGACGAAGCGAACGCTGATAAAAAAGGTGATAAAGACTATGAAGATGGGATAAAGAATAAGGACACTGGAGAATCGTCGTCGTCGTCGTCGTTCTGCCCTCGAGAATCCTCGAGGCGTCGAGGATCCCTCAAGACTGACTCGCAGGAGAAACTTCGACCAGCTGATGGCCTCGTCCCGGAGATCAGCCGTGTGTGTTAGTGTACGCACGGTGAAATCTTGCTGATGGGGTACGGAGAGGCGTACAGGAAGAGAAACGAAAAGAGGACAAAGGAGAAATGAAAGATGATGATCCTCGTGGCCCAGGGTTGGATGGTCCTCGAACGTGTTTCGGGGATGGAGGACACGTCCTCCAGTATTTGGTTGAAGTGGCCCGAGGAGAGACGAAGGAATGATACCACCAGCCGGGGCTGCTTTATTCGGTGTTCGTTGGGTTCGTTCTCCTGGTATAGAACATGGGCTCGTTGTTTCCGCGTCAGAACCGAGCTGATCCGGACCAAGGCCAGAGCCTAGATCTCAGACAATTCCAAAGCAACAGCGGTGCGTGTGTGTGTATAGACGAGAGGAACGAATCAGGCTCGCCGATGCAGAGGGTATCTGGTTAACCGGTAAAACAACAGGGAAGGATCAAAGGCCTACCGAACACGGATAACAGGATCGCGACCAAGATTTTCACGGGACGGTTGTTGTACACCCAACACGAACTTTGCGCGCACCTCGGCGGGATGATCAGGCGGAAGACACCGCGCGAATGGAGGCTTGTCGAAGTGTGTTTCGGCGACTAACGTGTCCTCCGGACTTTTTTTTTTTCAATAATATCATCGAGTGTGGGATGTTTGTTTCTCTGCGACAAAAGACTTAGTAAATTATTTATTGCCGATATTCGCGGGACCTGCGCTCTATCGACGCGGCGAGAGCGAGAAGCAGGGGGTCGGAAGAGAGAGAGAGAGAGAGAGTGAGAGAAACGAAAGGAGTGCGAGGGGGTCCATTGGGGGGTCCCGCGCGATCAGGACGCCCTCTGGGTCCCGCGTTCGAGAGTAAATGACGAATGTGGTGTGTGTTGTATGCGTGCGCGATCGTGAATGATGGGACACTGGGAGAAGCTCCGACCGAACGAAAAAAGGGAAAGGAAACGAGAATGAGAGGGAACCCGGGGAAATTATTGTAGGACAAAGAGAGGTGGCCACGGTCGGAAAAGCGTCAGGGGATATTAAGACGGGGGATTTTGTTGCCGCGTGTATGACTGACTACTGCTGTGTATGTATGTGTGATGTACGCGAGAAAGGGAGAATCAGAGGAAAAGTAGTGCCAAGAGAGCGTTAAGAAGGAAAAAAAGAAGCAAGTGGGAAAACTCTGTACATATTAGGTTAGGTAGTTCAATATCAATATAATTATTACGACTAAAAATGATATGCTATATACTGATTAAAAGTAATACCTTACACCACGCATAAACACGAGTTGACGGGCCCCCGGTGAACCGGTTGTCTCAGTGGACGCGTGGCGACCTCGCGGAAAAGGGAATCGATGCTCCTTCGTCTGGGAGAACCTTTCGCCTCGGCCCCCGTGTCCCGCCCACCCGCGAAAAATTCAGCGACACGAGGAATTTACGTATCGTTAGAGATTAAACTGGACTGATTTATCGTGTTCGCGGCGGGGTAACGTCGTTATTTTCTTTTGAGTAGCACTGGTGAGGGAATAGTTACGGATAATCGTTCTTAAAAAAATTAACCATGTTTGTAGAACTGCGATGTGAGTTTAGATTCAAACTTTGGAAGACTATTTTGTGACCCATCGTCTTTTTTGACCCGATAAATAGTGTAAATTCAGTTGTCTGTACAAGAGAATGGTGAACATAACGCAGAGTCTGATAAGGTTTGGAATCACGAATTAAAGATTGAAAAAAAAAGTAACATTTCAATTTTTATAATACAATAATTAGACTGCGGAAGTTTATGCGCATTCACAATTGAGGGGCTCTGTGGAAGAGGGGCACAACACTATAAATTTACACAACTACTTTTAGGAAAATTAAGGTTAGAGCTCATTGATGGTACAGAAAGCTAAAAATTTCCACTGAGCCCCTCAATTTTCAACAGTAATATCTAAAAATTAAAATTTGACACAATTTTTCATTCCGCACTAGAGTCTTTTCTACATGAATACAATGAAACTTTATTAAAACCTTCTTTTGCTTTTCCATGTACATAAATGCACAAACATCCGCAGTCTAACAATAATACTTCTTGAATGAGTATACACTCGAAGAACAATTACTTAATCACTCGTTAACGGTTTAAAGGTCAGAATTCTTCTATACTGCTACCTTTCACTATGCATTATTCGAACAAAATTGTGCTCAACTGTGACTAATCGTACGTCAACGATTGTTTAGCTCTATCAACAATGATGTAGACCACTTAATTATTAACAATCCATAAAAATAGAAGAAATTATTACCTTCAGTTGCGTCACAGTTTCCCGTCACTTGTACAAACACAGAACGACTTTTCGGAGCTGGTACCTACGTGTGTCGTGCTATTAGGAAACGACGTTACCACCCTGTAAACCTAGTGTATTAAGCGAGAAGGAGAGTTGATCGGGCGAGATTGGCATTCACGTTTTAGTGATTGGTATTTAGTCGACGAATTATAGTATTCGAGAATAACGACGAAGGTATATCGATTCTTCGAGACCGAAAGTCGCGAGGAGCCGCGCGTCCCGTACCGTGTTCTCCGACGACTCTCACAATGTCTGATTATAACGCTACTTTATTATTATTCAGATAGATAAGGCTTCAGTTTTTTGACGAAATAGGACGAGATCTGCCTTGACGACGAACCGAGATTCGACCGCTGACACTTGCGTGTTCGTTCCGCCGTTTTTCGTATCGAATTGAAAATGTTCCTGTTGGGTTATCGTTCGGGATTCTCGCGGATTTCCGTGCTCGATTAGGTATACCGGCGAGTATTCATTGTATGCATTGAAAAAAAGGAAGGAATCACTGTTAACCATATAATTTCCATTGGTCTGCGACAGATCTACGGTATTTTCACCAGACAAAGACACGATTGAAAAATTATCGGTACACTCGGTAGCAATGATACACCGCTTATATACAGAACTTTTTAATGTTCGACTATTTTGCGATAATATAAAAAGTGATTAAACACATTGAACTATTGATATTAACCTCTTGGCCGACAGTCTATCTCTCACGACCACGCCAGCCAGAGGTCACTTTATTGTTAATAATCTGCCTGAAAAATATTTATTGAATTCATCACGGGTCTGACTTGTTGTTAAGAGGCAATGGATGAAATAAATTCATCTTTATAGAAAGAAAAATTTTAAATGTTTATTTATTCTGTGAAAGTGTTCATTCGTCTCGGTTTTAATGAAACCCAACCTGTAACATAGATTTGTACGACACATGTAACATGTGTGAAAAAAATTATCTCTATTACATCTCATTTTCTGATGTTTATCGATCTGTTGTTAATGGTCATTATACAAATCTCTCGATCGAACGATAATCGGAGCAATCGATCGCGTCGACTTCGGTTCTCGAGCTCGGGACAGAACGAAACTACTGAAGTATCTCATGAGAAGTCACCAATTATTGTAATCCTTAAAACTGTAAGAACGAAGGGGTAAAAATTGCAAAGAAATTACCGACCGAGGTTACACTCTTGGCCCGTGGGTACAGGTGTCGCCGCGGTAAGCCTAAAATGTAACGAATGATCTCGAAAAAGAAACTAAACAAACACATACAGGCATCCATGGAATCTTCTATTCAGCAAAAAAAATAAAATAAAATAAATAAATAAATAAATCGTTCGTAATTTCGACTTTCCAGAAATTCCGTGATATTTTAAGATTCTATGTCACCTGGCGACCGTGCACACCTGACACCAGCCAAGAGGACCGGCGATGAACCAACATTTGGCGTCGAATACGCGTAACAAAACGAACCAACCTAATGCCGATGAAACAGTAAACGAAACCAAGCCACGATATATATATACATGTATACACATACATCATCAACATACACGTGTATGTACGTGTATATATACATGTATATGCATAGAGCAAAATCAGATTCCATCGACAAATGTCCGAGCAGTTCTACACAGATACACATACGCGCCACCGTTTCTCTCAGCGACACGTAGCTGAGGAGTGTGCATTAATCGATCCCAATTTGTTCCATCGTTGAAAATGTGTTCACGCGCATGCAATGTTAGGTGATGAAGGAAAAGAAATTTAATCGTAATTCTCTATATAAAGAAACGAAGCAAGGAAAAATAAAACGAAAGGAAAGAAACACGTGTAAAGACGAAATGAAACGAGACGGGAAGAACGAACAATATATAGCGGACCGCGACGAGAATAATTACGGTCCCTCGCCATCGAACGAAAGTGTAATCGATGAGAGAGAGATAGGATGCAAGCGACAGACTGTGTGTGACTGTGAGAGCGTGAGAGTGAAACAAAAAAAAAAAAAAAACAGATACGCTAAATCCAATGGGTCTTGTGCAAGCCTCGGTTAAATTAAAGCTGTTATCGACTTAGATTAAATTTGAAACCGCCCAGCAGGCTCTGGAACCTCGGAAGACTTAGTTTTGGGGTTCGTCATTCTGCATTATCATCGGAGATATTATACGGTACTACCTCGTCGCTTGGTCCATGTTTGTATATCCCCCATTTATTTTGGGGAAATGATCTAGACCAGTGTTGTGCAACGATGAACTTCTTTAAAGACTTTGTACAAGGATATATACTACAGACTCTAGGGGAATAGAATGGATGCAGTAAAGACAGGTTAGGGGAATTACCGTTGGGTACATTGAGAAGGATTCCCTAGTCTTTGGAGGTTATGTCAAACACTACTGGTCCAGGTCAAAATCTAGACATAATGATCGACGAATGGTGACTTAGAAATGTGGCTTGTTGTTTGTCTTAACATAAAACAGTTCCTGCCCAGTAACGAAGCCTTTCACGTGACTATTTTCCCCCAGCATGTGGTCCACAATCATTCGTTACTCCTGTGCAAATTCGCAGGAATAGAATTGTAGAGGAACGTCGTATTGATGATAGAAAAGAATTCCTAAAATACTGTTCGGGGGAAAACTCTCTATTGGCTTTGTTGAGGGTTTAAACTGTAAAGCTGAAGTCTTATTTCTAGTTAAAGAGATCACACGTAGGGAAAACACTGCGATGCATGGACAGAGTGGGTATAAAACGAGGTAGTGCTGTTACTTAGAGATTCGTTGACTCCGGAGCTAGTGGGCGGGGTCTGGTACGAGCGAGGAGATTCGATCATTTGTGGCCTTTCGGTGATAAAATCAGCAGCTATCGGGTTCGGAACGGGGCCGTTTTGCCTGGTCTGGGTAGAGACACGTTCCCCCCCTTGTGTTCGCGACGTTTTCTAAAAGCGTAGTTCGACTCAAACGAACGGCTTAGCTCGTTGGATCGGTTACTCGAAACGCTGACGCTTGGGGCAGCTCGACTACCAATTTGGAGGCACTACGAATATTGAGTGAGAAATTTTTATACGGTGTCACTTTGATACCCTTTCTTACTGGATATCTGGGTGATGCTCCTTTTTTTTAAATAATGCAATGAGGAAGATTTTGGCGACACATTCATAGTGTACTGATTTAGAGATTTGATCCTCAACTGAAGGACTCTTAAAATCTTAAGAATCGATGAAGATCATTGTACGATGTAATAAATGGAATGAAATACAATATAACATTGATTTCGTTTTATTTTTTACTCGAAGGAATTATGGATTGAATATAAATTCAAAGATTGATTTGAAGTTTTTATTAAGATCGTCTGGCTATCTATAGAGTCTAGTGATGAATTAGATTTTCTGTGAATTTGATCCATTTCGAACTAAACGTACATTGTGAAATGTGGTGATCACTTGGAGGTTAGTTCCCTAAATGAATTTAACTTAAACGAAAGATCCACCTCCAATGTTCCTCGTGAATAAATGCTTCCTCCTAGTAGAATGTCTCCGAAAATGTATTAAAAAAAATGCTTCCTCGAGCGTCAGATCGAACGAAAGCCCGTTTGTCTTGTCCTCGTCGTTCGTACGTCATCACACGGAAGCGTAAGTTGTCCAGGTTGATCACTCGTCGTCGACGAACTGAAACGATATATAACAAAGTTAACATAAAAAAAAAAAAAATATCGGGTGATTGGACTCGTCGATCAACCGGGCCTGCTTCCGGTCCATCTAGTCATGCTGAGCCGTGCGTGTCCCGTCGGTGGATTAATTAGATCATCAGTCGTTTTCTGATCGACGGTCGGTTTAGATATCCATCCAACGGATCCTCTGTACGTGATTGTGATTTCACACGAGGTGTTCCAAAATTGCGGATTGGCCGCTCGAAACAAAAAAAAGAAAAAAAAAAAAAGAAAGAAACAAAAAGCCAACCAAAATTCGGCTGGTACTCTCTTGGGGGGGCTTTCTCTCGATACGCGGTGATTATTCTAATCGTAACGTCGATAAGATTGGTGTGTCTAGTCCGCCACGACGAGGGGATCCGATATCGGAGTATATAATATGACTTCCTGTCTGCCTCGACCACCCCCGACGAATCGTTTTTAGCTAATCGAGGAGGCAGCAGGACGAAAACTAGCCTAGCCCATTCGGATCTCGTTCGTCCTGGAGTATAAATCATTCTTTTTTTCTTTTTTTTTTTTTTTTTTGTAATTTACGTTATTAGGTGAACCGAAAAATACATCGGTGGGGGGGGAAGGGGGATGAAAAAAACGGATCAATGCACAGACCCGCAGACTGATATGGATGCTAATCTGAGAATCAAAAAGTTTAGGGACACGATTGTTTTTACCGAGCGCGCCTTTTTGGTATATGCCTATTGGTGAGCATCCCTCTTGCGGGGGGTGGCTGAATTATCCAGTGTGGATCGACTACCAAACAGAGCGGGGGAAGAAGGATGATTGGTGAAGCGTGTGCGTGAATCGAGAGAATGGGCAAACGATATTGCGAAAGATCGACGGAAAGAGAATATTGGAAGAGACGTAAAGAGAGAGGGAGAATGGAAAACACTAGGCAAACGGGTGTGTGAGATTCGAGGTCGAATAGTCATCGTTTACGTTGTCGCGTCGTGTTGTACGGTCAGGGGAGTGACGGAAAATGGGAATGAATAATAATAATGAAAAGAAAAGAACACGAAGAAATCGGGGAAACTTTGTTTTTTTTTTTTTCAAGGTAATCGATCGATGTTGTAGGAACCAGTGTCATTTAAAGTAGTAGGTCGCTTCTACCAAAAGGAAAGTCATCTCGACGGACGAGCAAAAATAGTTTCACGTGGATCCGAAGTGTCGTGCCAGTCGCGTGGGTGCGCTCGAAACGGCGCGAGATTTAAGTAAAAAAAATAAAAAAACGTAATTACAGAATAAGGGTATATAGCGCGGGCCGGCACGAGTTCCTCGAACTCGCTGCGCTCCTTTCTT